TATAATCTGAAATCTTTATCAAATAACGATGTGTTCTTAAAGAAATATAAGCATAAGAATAATGATTACTTTTTTGCATCACAAAATTTCCAAATTTTCTTATATGAAGATGAAAGGATACAAGAAAAGCTAACACTTTCATAATGAATTAATTCTATCGAAAAGTTAATTTAGTTGATTTTTATCATGTCAATGGATGCATATAAAATTCATCGTTCATTACAATAATCGAATATCTTTGTAATAATATCAACTGATGAAGTACAATATGAATATTTACCAGCATTAATTTTTGATCGTTTAATGTTTTAATAATTTAATCTTTTCAAGTAAAGAGAAAAACAAAAAGATGTTTATTTTGTTTCTTTTTTCTATTTTTTACTTGTGTTTTGAAAGATACAAGTTCATCAAATTCATAAGCATGAAAAATAAGTTTTCCATCTTCTGAACATCTGAACGAATTCATTTGTTTTCTTTTTAATGAGACAAAGATAAAAATGTTAGTCGTACACATATAGATCTACCAATGATGAAATTATTCGAATTTATATGTTTATCATATCAAAAAACATAAAATTTAATTATAAATTCTTTTAAAAATGATTGTTTTGAACAATTATTTTCAATAACATTGATCTATATGAAATCAGTTTTAAGTCTTATTTATACACAAGATTTATCAAAATATTCGGAAAAAACACATTGTTATCTTAAATAAGCATTCAAATCAATGGTAACTTCGTTTAAATTTTTTATTCATCGATTAAGCTAAAATATTTCGGATGTTTCATAGAGTCTGAAATTTGTTCATGGAGAAAAGTCCAGATAGAAATTTTATAATTAAGATTTCTGGAGAGGTCCTGTCGAGAAAAGCAAAAATTTCAATATAAGAATATCCTAGTAAGAGAAAAACCGTTTTTGTGAAGATCGACGATCCTAAATAGAATAGTTTATTTTGATTTGGTCACAATTTGAAATCGAAACATAAAATCAGCTGATTTACGTGATCGACTTGCAAGATACTCTATTACCAAAATTCTATCTTAGAATAAAAACAGCAAAAAATAAGTCTAATTCATTTAAAAATACTTCTTTTATTTAGTTTTTATTAAACCGTTATCAACTAACAATCTTTTCATCA